TGGATTTATTTTATCGGGATATGGATTTAATTGCGAACTGTTAGTAGGCTACTGATTTTATGATTGATCATGCTAGCTACGGCATTCGAGTCCACACATGTCCAACTGTCAGCCTGGTGAATAAGCTGCATTACAAAAAGAAAAAAAAAATCTTTAAAGGTTATTTACGATTACGTAGCCTATTGCTGCCAAGGTATCTAGTCTTTATAGTGCTTTGTTATATGGAGCTGTTTGGTAGATCGCGATCTATCTAATTCGTTTGTCTACACCGTAATTAAAATGCGGCAGACTTTAATGGACAGTAAAAAAACACCGTAACTCCAAACCGGCACCGTAACTTCATTTTGACGCATGGCTAAACAAAGGCAGAAAGTGAAAACAAAGTGAAAGAGCCGTAACTGGTGTTATACGGCGTTCTGCCTTGGTTTCTCCGGGGCTTTTCGAAGTTAAAAGACCCATTATTTTCTCGGAAAAACAATGAAATTTACTCAAGATACTTATGCACATGATAAAGGATGTCTTGAATGTCCCAAAAATATCAATAACTCATTTTCGACAAAAATCGAAGTTACGGTCTTTTGCCTTTGCACGGCAGAGTTGTTGAGGAGAGGCATGCTATTATTTTTTTAATCAATTTGACTTACGGTTTTTGCCTGGTAATAAAAATCTGGAGAGATGTGAGCCATATCTACAAATTACAGACTTCGAGGGCCTGTAGGAAACCACCTAACATCCACCCAGAACACCCTAGCAATGCCCCAGTGATCAGTAAGTTTGCCCCAGTTTTTAATAAGAAATTTGTACTCAGACTTAGTATTCAGCAAGGATGCATTAAATTGATCATTATAAATGTCAAGACATTTATGATGCTACAATAAATGCTGTTCTTTTTAATTTTCTATTCATTAAAGAATTCTGAAAAAAAAATTTTTATCATGCTTTCCAGATAAATATTAAGAAGCACAACTGTTGATAATAATAAGAAATGTTTCTTGAGCATCATGTGACTCTGAAGACTGGAGTAATGATGCAGAAAATTCAGCTTTGCATTACAGGAATAAATAATATTTAAAAATATACAGTGAGGGAAAAAATGAATTGATCCCCTGTTGATTTTGTATGTTTGCCCACTGACAAAAGAAATGATCAGTCTATAATTTTAGTGGTAGGTTTATTTGAACAGTGAGAGACAGAATAACAACAACAACAACAAAAAATCCAGAAAACCGCATTTCAAAAAAGTTATAAATTGATTTGCATTTTAATGAGTGAAATAAGTATTTGATCCCCAAGCAAAACATGACTTAGTACTTGGTGGCAAAACCCTTGTTGGCAATAACAGAGGTCAGACGTTTCTTGTAGTTGACCACCAGGTTTGCACACATCTCAGGAGGGATTTGGCCCACTCCTCTTTGCAGATCCTCTCCAAGTCATTAAGGTTTCGAGGCTGACGTTTGGCAACTCGAACCTTCAGCTCCCTCCACAGATTTTCTGTGGGATTAAGGTCTGGAGACTGGCTAGGCCACTCCAGGACCTTAATGTGCTTCTTCTTGAGCCACTCCTTTGTTGCCTTGGCCGTGTGTTTTGGGTCATTGTCATGTTGGAATACCCATCCACGACCCATTTTCAATGCCCTGGCTGAGGGAAGGAGGTTCTCACCCAAGATTTTACAGTACATGGCCCCGTCCATCGTCCCTTTGATGCGGTGCAGTTGTCCTGTTCCCTTAGCAGAAAAACACCCCCAAAGCATAATGTTTCCACCTTCATGTTTGACGGTGGGGATGGTGTTCTTGAGGTCATAGGCAGCAATCCTCCTCCTCCAAACACGGCGAGTCGAGTTAATGCTAAAGAGCTCGATTTTGGTCTCATCTGACCACAACACTTTCACCCAGTTCTCCTCTGAATCGTTCAGATGTTCACTGGCAAACTTTAAACGGGCCTGTACATGTGCATTTTTGAGCAGGGGGACCTTGCAGGCGCTGCGGGATTTCAGACCTTCACTGTGTAGTGTGTTACCAATTTTTTTCTAGGTGACTGTGGTCCCAGCTGCCTTGAGATCATTGACAAGATCCTCCCGTGTAGTTCTGTGATGAATCCTCACCGTTATCGTGATCATTGAAACTCCACGAGGTGAGATCTTGCATGGAGCCCCAGACAGAGGGTGAATAATCGCGCCAACTGTTGTCACCTTCTCACCAAGCTGCTTGGTGATGGTCTTGTAGCCCATTCCAGCCTTGTGGAGGTCTACAATCTTGTCCCTGACATCCTTGGACAGCTCTTTGGTCTTGGCCATGGTGGAGAGTTTGGAATATAATTGATTGATTGATTGATTGCTTCTGTGGACAGGTGTCTTTTATACAGGTAAAAAAATGAGATTAGGAGCTTAAGAGAGTGCTCCAAATCTCAGCTCGTTACCTGTATAAAAGACACAATATTTAACGCAATTAACGCAGGGGCGGGGCTAGGGTTGGCCATCCCACTCTGCTGCCTCTGTCACTTTTTCTCTTGACAAGAAGTGCATTTATTCAGTCGCAGAACGACTGAGAATGGGAGACGTTTCACGTCACTTCACTTCAGCACCAGGCGCGAGTCACACGAGTGCGGAAACGGTACTGTGCTCGCAGCGCGTGCTCTTCAATTGCACACACAAAGTAGGTGTAGCGTCTGGACCAATCAGACACACCATTTTTCATTTGATTTAACAAATCAATTATTCATTAGATTAACAAACATTCACAGACCCCTCACCCAATAAACATACTGGGTGCCAGGCCTTAGCAGAAAAACACCCCCAAAGCATAATGTTTCCACCTTCATGTTTGACGGTGGGGATGGTGTTCTTGAGGTCATAGGCAGCAATCCTCCTCCTCCAAACACGGCGAGTCGAGTTAATGCTAAAGAGCTCGATTTTGGTCTCATCTGACCACAACACTTTCACCCAGTTCTCCTCTGAATCGTTCAGATGTTCACTGGCAAACTTTAAACGGGCCTGTACATGTGCATTTTTGAGCAGGGGGACCTTGCAGGCGCTGCGGGATTTCAGTCCTTCACTGTGTAGTGTGTTACCAATTTTTTTCTAGGTGACTGTGGTCCCAGCTGCCTTGAGATCATTGACAAGATCCTCCCGTGTAGTTCTGTGATGAATCCTCACCGTTATCGTGATCATTGAAACTCCACGAGGTGAGATCTTGCATGGAGCCCCAGACAGAGGGTGAATAATCGCGCCAACTGTTGTCACCTTCTCACCAAGCTGCTTGGTGATGGTCTTGTAGCCCATTCCAGCCTTGTGGAGGTCTACAATCTTGTCCCTGACATCCTTGGACAGCTCTTTGGTCTTGGCCATGGTGTAGAGTTTGGAATATAATTGATTGATTGATTGATTGCTTCTGTGGACAGGTGTCTTTTATACAGGTAAAAAGGCTGAGATTAGGAGTTTAAGAGAGTGCTCCTAATCTCAGATTGTTACCTGTATAAAAAGCACCTGGGAGCCAGAAATCTTGCTGATTGATAGGGGATCAAATACTTATTTCACTCATTAAAATGCAAATCAATTTATAACTTTTTTGAAATGCTTTTTTTTTGTTATTCTGTCTCTCACTGTTAAAATAAACCTATCATTAAAATTATAGACTGATCATTTCTTTGTCAGTGGGCAAACGTACAAAACAAAACAGCACGGGATCAAATAATTTTTTCCCTCACTGTATTAAAACAGAAAACAGTTATTTTAAATAGTAATGATATTTCACAATATTGCTGTTTGGACTGTATTTTTGATCAAATAAATTCAGCCTTGGTGAGCAGAAGAGACTTCTTTCAAAAACATTAAAAACCTAACCCCAAACTTTTGAATGATTATGTATATAAAATAAAATGAAGTTGAACATGTAGTTTGTGTGAAACAACAAAAAGTCTATTCTTTATAAATGCGTATATTGTGAATTTTGATGATATGAGCCAATCAGAACTCATCTCTGGAATATAGAACTGTGCGTTCATTAAAAGAACAATCAGAGATGCCTCTCCAAAGGTTACAGGAAAGAAAAGGGTTAGCTGGATTGATCCACACAGCGAGTTGTGCTGACTCACCCTCTGACCAGACACCTGCAGATCAGCATGAGCTGTGGTTACATGACAGAGTTTGCGTGTTTGCATGGACATTCATGGGAACAATGGTGATACATAATGATGGTACCATGTGACATGTTACATCTCTGACCGTGTCTTACCATGTGAATATTATGCTATGACAGTGGTCTTGAAGAACATTTTGATGTCTATCAGCATATATGCTTTGGTAAAAATGTATTAATATAATATTACAAAAAAAAAAATATATATATAGGCTGCCATTCCCAAAAGCTTTAATGCTTTCTTATGATACTTTTGGGAAACGCAGCCCTGTTTGAATGCACTGTCAGCAGTGAGTGAATGCTCTCTGTGATTGATTGGTTCTGTCTTGCAACATTTGCGTGTGTTCAGATGAGCAGGAAAATAGTTCTATCCTACACAATTACTCGCTAACAAAGGTTAATCGTCCAATTCAATGCATATTGTACGCATTATTATTATTTTTTTTGTTAAATAAACAAAACCACTGGTAAATAAAACGCACCTTAGTATCGATATTTTTGTTTTGAGTATCGATACTTTCGATACTCGCGTCAGTATCGATATATCGATACTTCGGATCAATACGCCCATCCCTAACACAAAGACACCGCGCGCACTGTAGCCAGTATCCTTTCATATCAAAGCGCAAAATAAACTACATGCATGCAATGCCTTGGTCAGTTAAGTCATGAAGTTACCCAAAAGGCGATTAAAGCTGCCTTAAAACTGTGCATGCATGAAATATATTTTATATGAGTCACATTTAAGAACATGTCTCTGAAATGGTTTTCAAAACTGTCCTGGAGCAGCCCAGCACTGTCTCACTCTTCTTACACACCTGATTTAACTCGTCAGCTAATAGAGACTTTAAAGGGTTAGTTCACCCAAAAATGAAAATTCTGTCATTAATTACTCACCCTCGTGTTGTTCGAAACCCGTAAGAGCTTCGTTCATCTTCGGAACACAATTTAAGATATTGTTGATGAAATATGAGGGCTCTCTGACCCTCCCATAGACAGCAAGGTAACTACCACGTTCAAGGTCCAGAAAAGTACCAAGATGATCGACAAAGTAGTCCGTGTGACATCAGTGGTTCAACTGTAAAGTTACAAAGCTACGAGGAATACTTTTTTGCACAAAGAAAACAAAAATAACGACTTTATTCCACATTTTCGTCTCTACTGCGTCACTTGTGGATGCGCGTTCACGACAGTATCATGACACGAGCGTGTGGTGGCGCTGACCCAGATGTCACACGGACTACTTTGTCGATCATCTTGGATCATCAAAAATATCTTAAATTGTGTTCCAAAGATGAACGAAGGTCTTACGGGTTTGGAACAACAGGAGGGTGAGTAATTAATGACAGAATTTTCATTTTTGGGTGAATTAACCCTTTAAGACCTGAAGTGGGTCAGAAAAGGTAAAAAGAGTTGAGAAAATATGATGCGTGTCAGATCCGCGTCACGTTCAGCAGATAAATAATAATAATAATAATGATAAAAATCCACCCGGTGTTTTTTTTTTAATCTCGTTAAATGTTTTCCCCTTTCTCAAATTTTTGTTTAAAAGTAGAGGCTCTGATCTTTATTTTGGTGTATTGCACATTCAAATATTCATACAGCAAAACATACTGAAGGCCATCAAATTTTAGTGCAAAACATGAAAATCGTTGGCGGTGGCTGGCAACTTTTTTCAAAAATGCTGGCGGGGAAAGAGTTAATCAAAGGACAAAGAAAAAAAGAGGAAAAAAGAACTTTTATAGCTTTAAGGATTCATCAATATTTAATTTAGAATTTAGTGTTTGATAACTTCAATTTCAGCTTCTGTATATTTCAAGGGCACAGGTAAATATGACATTTATTATAATGGGTTTATGTGAAGATTGTTTTAAGTTCACTTAAATTAGAAGTTATTTTTTAAAGTCTAATAAATGTTAAA